TTTCTAGTTGAATTTGGAAATTTGTTACGTAGAAGTAGAGGTACCCTGAAAAATGTACTTTAAAGGCAAATTTCAGGGGTTGTTTATACCCCTTTAAAACATTTATCACCATATAAAATAATGTTTAGCTCTTGTTTTTTTGAAAATTTATAACCGATCGAAATTCCATTGAAATCTACAGCGCTGTACTCTATTAAGAATGAAAATTATCTAAGGGTAGTTTACTCTTTATACCTTATACTCGTATACAAAAAAAGCCGAAGCACGTCAAGTTTGGTTTTCAATGTCCTTCAGGGCAATACAAGTTTCGTTGACTTTGGATATTAAATTTGTGTTTTTCAAAAAAAAAATTCAAATTCAAAAAAACATAACTTTCGCCCTTTTGAAAAATAAGGAGTACCACCTCTGCGGACCTTGATGTGTTGTATGGTATTGTTATTCAGTAACAAACATTTACCAGTTGTTTTCGGAAAGAAATCTTGTATAGGAAAAGAGATATACTGAAAAAACGGTTTTTGGGGTCGTACTTTCGGGGTAGTTTTCGCCCCTTTAAACTGTTTATCAGCACATAAAAAAATACATGTCTCTTATTTTGTAGTCCTCTACAACATATCACAGTTTCATTGGAATTGGTTCCACACACTTCCTTTACCTTCCTTGTTAGAGAAAAAATGTTTGTTTTTTCAAGAAAAATAAGTATCTATTATTAAAATTCCATTTTGAAAAAAAAAACAATTTTTCCATTTTTTTGTGGTAATTTTTTTTTAATCCATTAAAAATATAAAACTTTCGTTATTAATTGAAAATTTCATGACTTTTAAATTATATTTAAATGATTGAAGACACCAATTCAACTAGTTTTTCAATTTTCCCTATCGATTTTTAGCCATTCACTTTGTATTCTTTCCCGTAGCATGCACTTATTCCAACAATTTTCTGTACCTACTTTTACTTTCAATACCTCCCACAAGCGTTCGATCGGATTCAAATCCGGAAATTAACTCAGCCATTGAAGAACAGGAAGCTTTTTGATTTTGAAAAAGCTTTGAAATAGACGAAGTATGCTTAAGATCGTTGTCTTGTTGTAAAATCCATCTTCGTGGCATATTTCGACGTGGATAGGGAAGCATGTTATCTACTAAGATCTTCGTATAAGTTGCCGAGTCCATAGTATTATCAGTTTTTACAACCGTTCCAACTCCTTTCCTCGAAATACCTCCCCAGAGCATAACATTATCTCCATCATGTTTTACTGTCGATATTTAATACCGAAAGTCGAACCTGGTATTCTTTCATCGTCGAACATACCTCCTTCCGTCATTCCCAAATAAATTTATTTTAGTTTCATCTCAGAAAAAGAAGTTTTTTCCAATTCGTACTGTCCAGTCTTTATGAGCCTAAGTAAATTCTACTATTGCTTTTTTATTCTTAACACTAAACTTTTTTCTTTTTTTTTTAACACTAATTTTTCTAAACACTAATCAGTGGCTTTTTAACGCCAACACGCTCAAATAATCGACTTCATTTAGTCTGCGAGAAACAGTGCTGCGACTTATATCAGCTAAGTTTTCCTCGCACAGTTAATATGATAAACATTTAGCAATTTTCTTCAGATTTATGGTTGCTTTCCTTTTAATTAACTTATCGACATGCTTAGTTGTTTTTCGCGGTCTTTCTGATACTAGTTTATTTTCTAAAATGTTTGTTTCCTTCCACTTTTTGATAACTTAACTAACAGTTGATTTACTTATTTCAAATTTGTAGTAATTTCACGTGAACATTTTCCTTCTTCATATAACTAAATAATAGTTTTTTCGGATTTGAAGAGACGTTCGTTTTGCCATGTTGACAGTTTACTTGAAACTACCAGACTGAAATGGCTGTAATTTCAATTATAATAAATTTAATGATATCATACAGAAGTGTAAACAAACATTTGTTTGAAATCTTACTTGAAGTCGTGAGATCATACCCGCACAACGTAGTTAAATTCCAGGAGTTTAAGTAAACATCGGAGTAAGTATTTTTTATTATTGATTGAAATCATATAAAAGTGTAGAATTTGTAGTTCTGAACATGTAATAAAGTTGAAACTCAATTGAAATGAATCAATTTTTCTTTTCAATACATCTTTATTGAGAAAAAAATTAGCATGATAAAAGTTAATTTTATTGGGAATTTTTAAGAGCAAATCATCTAAATATAATTGAAAAGTTATGAATTTTCAATTAATAACGAAAGTTTTATGTTTTTAATGGATTGAAAAAAAATGAAAAAAATTGTTTTTTTTTTTTTTTCAAAATGAAATTTTAATAATAGATACTTATTTTTCTTGAGAAAACAAACATTTTTTCTCTAAGAAGTTTTTTTTCTACGGTGTACATATTTGAAGATAGTCAAACTTGAAAAAAGAGTGATATAAAAAATTTAATCAGCGTAAGTTTATATCGGCAGGATAAAAACGAAATTTTGTTCTACTCATTTTAAAGAGGAAGCTACTCGTAATACGTATCCATTCCATTTTATTTTTTAAAAATCTGCTGACTCCTTCAAATGTTAGAAAGTATTTTTTACGGTTTAAAAAAAATGAAAAAATATAATCCAGTTTTTTTAGTGTAAAAAATGCTATTTTCAATCGTCCAAAAAAAAAACTAGCGAAATATGAAAAATATTGTTTGCTCTTTAAAATGAGCCTCGCGGGTTCACCTACGATAATTTCCGAGTGAGATACAAAACGTTGCATTTTTGATAATTTCAGTATAGACTGGCCAAAAACTTATGCACAACTATAGATGCAGTTCACGATATATTGCCCCTGTATTTTCAATTGTTTATAATTGAGTGCGTGAATTTATACCTGGGTGTACGTCAACAGAAGTTGAACATCGTTCGAGGTGCCCTATGAAGGTGACTATTCCCCAAATTATTGACAAAATTCATGATATGATTAAGTGATCGACGAATCAAAGTGCGGGAAATAGTTGAGACCACAGGTATATTAATAGGTATAGTTGCGTCAATTTTGTATGAAAAATTGGCTGTGCGAAAAATTTCGGCAAGACATTTCGGCCACGTATTCTTACAGTGGAGAATTAAAGTAATCGTGCAGTCAACTCTGAGGCTATTTTGGTGCTTTTCTATCATAACACTGAGGTGTTTCTGCCTTGATATATAACTATCGATAAATCGTATACACTACGAGGGTCGTTTGAAAAATACAATTATTCTCATGTACGAGGGTGAATCAATAAGTTCTTAGAAAATCCAAGAGATGGTACCCAAAACATTCCAACTTACGAGGGTCATTTGAAAAGTCCGTGCAAAAATAAAAACTGCTTGATTTTTTTTAATAAATTTTTTTTATTTTTCAACATAGTGTCCTTTTATACACTTCATCCAACGCTACTCTAGTTTGTTAATCCCTTCCAAATAATAGGATTTGTCCAAGTCTGTAAAATAGGCATTCGTTTCTGCAATCACCTCCTCGTTTGAGTAAAATCTTTTCCCCGCCAGCCATTTTTTCATATTAGGGAACAAATAGTAGTCCGACGGAGCCAAGTCTGGAGAATAGGGGGGATGTGAAACGAGTTGGAACCCTATCTCCATCAGTTTTGCGGCCACAACTGCTGAGGCGTGAGCTGGCGCATTGTCGTGATGGAAGAGGACTTTTTTGTGGGCCAATCGTGGACGTTTCTCTAGCAATTCGGTTTTCAAACGATCCAATAACGATGAATAATATTCGCCTGTAATGGTTTTACTCTTTTCCAGATAGTCGATGAAGATTATTCCTTGCGAATCCCAAAAGACAGTCGCCATAACCTTCCCGGCCGAAGGAATTGTCTTCGCCTTTTTCGGAGCAGATTCCCCCTTGGTAACCCATTGTTTAGACTATTCTTTGGTCTCAGGAGTGTAGTGATGTATCATCTATCCATGTTTCATCTACAGTGATGAAACGACGCTTAAAGTCTTGCGGATTTTGCTGAAACAGCTGCAAACCATTCTTGCAACACTTCACACGATCTCGTTTTTGGTCAATCGTGAGCAATCGCGGCACCCATTTAGCGGATAGCTTTTCATGTCCAAATGTTGGTTCAAAATATTATGTACCCGTTCGCTCGAAATGTCTACAGTACTAGCAATCTCACGCACCTTCACTCTTCTGTCAGCCATCACCATATCATGGATTTTATCAATGATTTCTGAAGTAGTAACCTCAACAGGGCGTCCAGAACGTTCAGCGTCTTTTGTGCTCATATGGCCACTCCGAAAATTTTGAAACCACTTATAAACCATTCTAATCGAAGGTGCACAATCACCATAAAGTTTATCAAGCTTCTGTTTAATCTCCTGAGGCGTTTTGCCTTTGAAAAAGTAATGTTTAATCAATACACGAAATTCTTTTTCGTCATTTTTTTACAACGACTCGATTTCTTTGATTGAAACGAATGTAAAACGCAAAGTAATTGGCCGATCTGGCTGAAACTTAGTGTGTGCTCTTCCAATATATGCCAGTAACTGAAAATAACCTTGATACGCACTAGTAGCGCCATCTCTCTGACTTTGCACGGACTTTTCAAACGACCCTCGTACTATAACCCATAATAATAATACACTTCTATAACCTTTAATAACTCCTTGTCGCTAAAGTTATATCAGTAGAAGCCACCTACTTATAAGAAATATTTTGTTGTTGATTTTCTTTAAAAACATTCATTAGGTGTAGAGATATATTAAAAAAACCATTTTCGGGGTGGTTTTTAGGGGTGGATTTCACCCTTTAAAAGTGGATGTCTGCCGTTAAAAATAACACGTGTCAAATATTTTTTCGAGTATTGTAACATATCCAAAAAGCATTAAAAATAGTGAAGTCCGATTGGGATGGTTCCCTTGTAATATGTACACGCATGCAGAATTGCAATGGTCGTATATAATAAAATCATAAATTTTCTCCATTGCACTTGGCATCTATTTCAATTTAAACTAAAAATATATATTTTCAGGGCGTCGACGAGAAAATAAAGAAAATGAGAAAATAATCAGTCACAATAAAGTTGGAATTGAATTTAACATCAGGCGAGGTCGCATTGTTACTGGACGATCTGGCCGTGGGGGTAAAAGTGGAGGAAGAGGTATGGGCCCTCGAACTTTTGCACACAGGGGAGAGCAAATAAGATTATCAAACAACCATAATTTTACGAAACCAATAGAAACATGGACTGGAACTGAAGAACAAACAACTTATACTAAAGATACAAGTATAGGTAAAAAGATATTATCATACCCCCTTAAAATTGTCGATTGATTTTAATGTTTATTATGACTATCATTTATTCGGAAATTAAACCTGTAAAGAGATGTCTCATTGTGTCATGATGCACATAAGAAATTGTAATTTGAAGAATGAAAATCTATTCTTTTGAACGACCATCGTTTTACTTGATATCATTCTGTCGATTTTGTTTTAAAGTTATCGTAATTTTATGTGCTTTATCTAAAACTAAATATTTGAAGAAATTGAATTCACTTATCATTATTGGAAAATTTATAACTGATTCGTAAAATACTTTAGGTCTTACTTAAAATTACTTTACGGTATTTTACTTCCTAATTTTTCGAAATAAAAAAATGTTCGAAATAACAATCAATTACATAAATATATTACTAATAACGTTAATACATTAGGAAAAGAAACGTAAAGTGTGTTTCATATATAGACAAAATTATTGTTACAGCAAATTTTTTAAAATACATGCAAAAACTGGATATGATAGCAAAAACTATGCCATTCTTTTTATTATGTCATCCTTATCCATATGATTTGCAATGGTGTAGAAAAAGTTATTTTAAAAAATAAAAATAATTTATTACTTTGATAAACTCACTGCAACAATCGAGTCTGTGAAAAAATCATAGAAAACATCTATTTAATATTTTTATGTCAAAATTTAATTTGTTAGTGTAGAATAAGGATATACTTTGCCCGTGTAATTGTAGTGGGATGAAGTCTTGCCAATCAATTTCTTGATCGTACACCAAAATTGGATAAATTTATTTTATTTTCCAAATCCTTCCGTGTTATGGATCAAATTTAAGCTGTAGTTTTTAATGGTTGGGTACATAAATTGACAAGAACAATTTGGTTTTCCAAATTTATAAATTTTGTTCTAATTTGTTTTCTTACGGGTTGGGAGTTCTTGATACCTAATTATATCCACAATGAAGATAGAGATATGCACGGAAATACAATATCTAACCGATATCGGGTTTATAATATATTTATTGTTGCTCAAAAAAACGTAGAGAAAATCACGCTATTTATCGAAACGATAGCCACTAGCTAATACTTGCGCCGTATGAATTTTAATTAAATGCGTTACGCGTTTGACTTCTGTATTCTTTCTTGAGTGGCTTTCCGAGTTTCGTGATAAAGTATATGTGATATATATCTTTAGTTTCCGAAATTTTTGATATATGACATAAATTTGAAGAAAGTCGATTTTGTCTCATCTTTTGGCCAAAAGCTTATTCAAAGCTTCGGTACGAAGCTTGCGATTCAGCGTTAATAAAGCTTACAATATGTCATGCCATCGCTAGAAATGTTAAATGCCGCGTCCTTACCACGTCTCAATATTTATATTGGTGAATAAGATGTCATGCTACCACGATGTATAGGCATTTTAGTGATGTAACGTGCTGATGCTAGTATGATATTTCGAGGATATATAAAAGCGTGAAATATCCAAGGCCATGGTCCGTTGTTTTGGATGGAGAACAACAACGAATAAAAGGATCGGAGATCCTTGTACAGTATAATAAAGGTGCGCGTCACGATTTAACAGCAAATCACGTGATTAAAGGAATTTCAGAGATTTTTTTACACTAGTGCTATGTTGCTTTACTCTTAATCGCATGACGGCTATTTCTTTTGGAATACAGATAGTGAGTGCTAGTTATGATATATTTACCATATTTATAGCCGAGGTTATCGTTTGCTGATGATGTAAGGGTACTGACTGTGGCTCATTATTTTCTTGATTTTGGTTTTATGACGCGGCAATAACTGGAATCATTCTTTGGCATATTAATATTACAGGACACTCTAGAGGCTTAAGAACACCATAAGATCATAATTATCATTACTACTATGATGATTGCAATGGTTGCATACAGAATGTCGATTAAATCATTATGATTTTGTATGTTAGTAAATTATATTTTCCAAGATTACGCTTTTTTCTATTATTTCATCGAAATTTCGACCGTAGTGGAGATGGTGTGTTTTTAAATTTATTCTACCCGTTATGCTTACTATAGTGTCTGTATTGTTCATGAGTTTCTACATTATTTGTATGTGTACAGTTCCGTTTTTATTTTCCACGAGCTACTAAATAAAATCAGGGATAATAGAGCTAAGTATTGTTATTCTTGAGCTTATCGAAATTTTACATGAAGTTGATAGTTGAACGGTCTTGGTGTGGGCAGCACAATCTGATGGTAACTTGAGAATTTCTGGCCTAGCGATTGTCATTTGATATTCGGATACTCTTTTACAAATTACAAATAATTATTCTGAGGTGTTTGTAGAGAATAATCACGTATTTACAATGGTTTGTCGAGTCCAATAAATGTATTGGAGTCTAACTACTTTTATATTACACTGGCGTAGTTTCCCAAAATCATTATGCGTGCTTAATTGAATCTCACATAATCAGTTCAGTTATCGTGTCTCCCGGTTTCGTATTTTTACATCTGATTGTTTTATCTATACGATTGCATTTGTTGCTCATTGGCACATAGATATGTGACAAATTGTTCGCTGTGAAATAATCACGGTTTGGCTGAATATATGCGAACGTTGACGTAATATTGAAAAATTTTTCCAACAGCAGTAGCGGTATAAGTTTATATTATTGATAAACACCGTTATCAAAAAGTAGTAATCATATATGGTATATTAACTCGACATTTATTAACATTATTGCTATACTGAAGATTTTTATGAGTTCGGTAATGGAGATCAGGTTTTTTGTTGTTAGGAATTACGCTTTTGGTATGATTTTCGGAATACGCCTGTTTTACATATTTGTTGCGAAGGGAAGGGTAGTACACTCCCGGACACCTACTTTTACCCCCTCCCCCCCGACAAAATTATTAAAACTTTGAAATTGTCTATTTTTGGTGTAAATTAACGTACAGAGTCGGGCAAGGGCTCATTTGAAAGCTCTTGAAAAGTGCTTTCAAATGGTGTAAATCATGGATATAATAAAATTTTTTTTTAATTTTTTTTAATCGATAATTGAAGACTGAAAATTCTCAAAATTCTTGTTCATCTTTGATCTCCCGCCAAATTTCGAAAAAAAATAACATAAAAATTTGGAGCATGGCATTTTGTGGCTCTTTCCAAATCCTATCTAAATCACTCGTTAAAAAATTATTTTCATCGTATATGATGCCTTTACACTCTACTTCAACTTTTCATATCTCCGTACATTCAACTGATAGAAAAAAACTTATATAAAAAAATGTTTCGTTTTTTACGTAGAATAACGTAAAATTTTGTTTTTGTTTTTTTTTTTGAAAACAAATTTTTCGACTTTTTTGGCTCCGGGAAAAATCTTTCCCAGAGCCCCGATTAGAGCCTGCAAACTCTTGCCTTTTTCGGCCGAGGAACCCGAGCTGTGGTTTGCAAAAACCGAATCGGCTTTTCAGGTAAACCGAATTCGCTCCGATGAATCTAAATATCATCTCACCATAGGCGCCCTGGATGCGGCCGCGTTAAGAGAGATTGTCGATATCATCAAATCGGAGCCTGCCACGAACAAGTACGAGTCGCTTAAGTCGCGACTTCTCAAACGGTTTGGGGACACAGCGGACAAAAAACTCGAAACGCTGTTAAACAAGATGGAGCTTGGAGACAAGAAACCGTCTCAGCTCTACAGGCAGATGATAACGCTTGCCGGAGACAACGCGTCAGAGGAGCTTGTGTGAGTAAAGTGGCTCGGCATGCTCCCACGTAATGTGCAAAGCATCTTGAAAATTTTCAAGGCCAGCAGTACCAATAAACTTCTCGAAGCAGCAGACGCCATCACCGACACTCCGACTGCCTCCTCCATTTTTGCCGTCGAGCAGCACCCAAACGTGCTAGCTGTTCAGAACCACGCATCCGACCTATCCGAGATTAAATCTTTACTTCTGCAACTAATTACAGCGACGAGAGACTTGCCTGACCGCGTTGCAGAAGCCGTCGCATACGCAAACCAAGCCAGGACTGCTGGCAACCAGAACAGCTGGCAATCAAGGAGCCGCTCCACATCCAGAGTCATACCACATAGCAATGGCATTTGCTATTACCACACACGCTTTGGAGCGGCGGCAAACCGATGCATCTTGCCTTGTGCCTTCACCGGGCAACAACAACGGCTGTCGGGAAACCTCTAAGGCTGCTGCCTACCTCAGCGCTAATCAGCAGCGCCACTGCAGTCCAAGTCGCTACCAATCGGCCATGGAGAGAGAAGCGACTCATCGTCCAGGAACGCAACACGGGAACTCGTTTCCTCGTAGATAGTGGTTCCATCGTATCCATTCTGCCCAGTGGTGGTGAGTCCGCGAAAGTGTCGGCTGACCAGTACCTCACCGTCGCAAATGGTTCACCGATCTGCACCCAGGGACGCAAAGTCCTGCAGCTAGACTTCGGACTGCGCAGGACCTTTCCCTGGTCTTTTGTTCTGGCGGACGTAAAGATCCCACTTTTAGGAGCCGATTTTCTCTCCCACTTCAACCTGCTGCCCGACCTCAGAAGACGAAGACTACTTGACTAAACAACTCTTCTCTCTGCCCCTGGAAATCTAAGCGACGCGCGCTTTCACTCGATCGTAGCCACTTACTCGAGCCCAACCTTTGCCTTAGCCAAGACAACTGACCCCGTCAGCAAACTTGTGGAGGACAACTTCAAGCGATTCTCAGCTATCGAAGGACTGGTGACTGGCCTAACCGCTGCCACTCAGCACCACATCGTGACTACGGGACCACCGGTCTTTTCAAGGCCTCGCCAGATGCTGGGCGCTAAGCTAAAAGCCACCAAGGCAGAATATAGTGAACTGCTGAAGACAGGAGTCATAAGACCTTCCAGCAGCCCTTACACAAGCCCAATTCACATGGCGAAATCGAAGTCTGGAAAACTAAGGCCCACAGGGGACTACAGGAACCTGAACGCCCAAACCGTGCCTGATCGTTATCCGATCCCTCAAATCTATGATTTACT